TCCAAAACACCAAACAATCCAATTAAAAAGTGGACAATTCTCAATAGACAATTCTCAACAGAGGAATCTAAAATGGCTGAAAGACACATAAGAAAGTGTTCAACATCCTTAGCCATCAGGGAAATGCAAATCAAAACAACTCTGAGATACTATCTTTCTCCTGTCAGAATGGCTAAAACACCAATGATAACTTATGCTGGAGAGGATGTGGAGAAAGAGGAACGAGTGCAAACTTGTACAGCCACTTTGGAAATCAGTATGGCGATTCTTCAGGAAAATGGAAATTAGTCTACCACAAGATCCAGCAATTCCACTCTTAGGCATATACCCAAAAGAAGCACAATCACACAACAAGGACATCTGTTCAACGATGTTCATAGCAGCATTATTTGTAATAGCCAGAACCTGGAAGCATACTAGATGCCCTTCATCTGAAGAATGGATAGAAAAAATGTGGTACATTTACACAATGGAGTACTACTTAGCAGAAAAAAAAAACAATGGAATCTTGAAATTCCCAGGCAAATGGATGGAACTAGAAGAAACCATTCTGAGCAAAGTAACCCAGTCACAAAAAGACAAACATGGTATGCACTCACTCATATATGGATTTTACACATAGAGCAAAGGATTGCCAGCCAACAATCCAAACCACTAGAGAAGCTAGGCAACAAGGAGTACTCTGAGAGACATACATAGTCCCCTGTTGAGGGGAAAGGGATAAGATCTCCTGAGCAAATTGAGAGCATAGGGAAAGGGGAGAAGGAACTAGGAGAATGGGAAGGAGAGAAGAGGGGGGGTGAGGAGGACATAAGGGAGCAGGAAGGTTGTGGAGTGGGAAATACATAGGGGAGCAAAAGAAGAGATAACATCAGAGAGGGAGCCAGTATAGGTTTAAAGAGCCATCAGGCACTAGGGAAATGTCCAGAGATCCACAAGGATGACCCCAACTAACAATCTAACCAATAGTAGAGAGGCTACCTTAAATGCCCTCCCCCACCCCCCGATAATGAGATTGATGACTAACTTATATGCCATTCTAGAACCTTCATCCAGCAGCTGGTGGAACTAGAAGCAGACAGCCACAGCTAAACACTAAACTGGAATCCAGGTGCAGAGGAGGAGTGATGAGCAAAGGGGTCAAAGACCACACTGGTGAAACCCACAGAAACAGCTGATCTGAACAGGGGGAGCTCTTGGTGCCCAGACTAATCACTGGGAAACCAGCATAGAACTGATCCAGACCCCATGAATGTGGGTGTCAGTGTGGAGGCCTCGGAAATCTATGGGGCCTCTTGTAGTAGATCAGTACTTATCCCTAGCGTAGAAATGGACTTTGGGAGCCCATTTCACATAGAAGGATACTCCCTCAGCCTAGACATACAGGGGTGGGCCTAGGCCCTGCTCCAAAGGATTTGACAGACTCTGAGGACCCCCTATGGAAGGCCGCACCCTCCCAGGGGTGCAGAAAGGGTATGGGATAGGGAGTTAGTGGGGGGCAGGGGAGGAAGGGAAGGGAGAGGGAACTGGAATTGACATGTAAAACAAACTTGTTTCTAATATAAATTTAAAAATGGAGAAAAAAAGAGAAACTAGAACTGTGTTTCTTTGACTCTAAGAACTCACTCAAACTGCACAGAAGATCAGACAGCACCTGCTAGGGGTCCTTTTTTACTGGGTGCCTAGTAGAATCTTTTGCTGGCTTGAACTACTTTATGTTTTATGAAACCATTATTTTTATTATTAGGGAAAAATGCAGAAGAAATGGACAGAAAGAAAAAGTAGCACCACACACCACCACACTGTAACAGTTTTCAGGAGACATTTGGTGCCTACGCACCCAGTGCCACACAATTACACAAAGCTTTATTTTTCCTGCCTGCTCCTCCCACAGACACTCTAAAATTTAAGATCACAGTTGCAGAGATTGTACTATTGTAAATTTTCGAGATAATTGCTTGAGATAAATAGTGCTTCAGAATTAGGGAAATCAGGTAGATATACAAAGCACCTAAACTCACTCAAATCAGTGGTTTAACAGAATAAATAAGGAAAACACCGCCATATTTTAAAACAATACCAAAGTTAGCATAATTTTCACCCTTCTGCAATTAGGTGGACCGAAAAAAATATATATAAGCAGGCTAAAGATATACTTCAGTGACAATGTCTCAACATGCAAGAGGCTTTGTACTCAATCCCTAGAAAGATGGAGAAGGAATGACAAAGGGAAAGAAAAGGGTGATTAGCACCAACGTAAAGATTCTTTACTATCACAAAATTCAGAAACCAAAGCCTCCTATGCAGCAACGTGTGGTGGCTGAACCACCACCAAGTCTAATGGAACCTCCACTTGGTGTCTGCACCACGACTAAGTCCGAGTATCCAGCCAAAGACTGGAGATTTAGTTAAAAGCAGAGACGTCCGGCTGCTTGTGCCATGTGCATCTGTCCGACTTTATTCCAGGGGGAGAGCAGCCTTATATACACTTAACAGCACAGTGTCGAAACCCCAGGTGTCAGAGCTCGTGGAGAAGAGCTTGTGGGGCAAGGTGGGGGCTGAAGCCAGGACTAGAAAACAGGATGCACCTGTGGTTATTGGCTGACACGCAACTCACAGAGACCTCATGGAGGTTGGGACCCAACAGCAATGCTATTATTTTATTTAAGGAAGTAGTCCATTTTTGTGAGCCAAGTGGCTTTTGAGATGGATGAAACTCAAGATAAGCGTTGTCTACACAGCAAGTTCAAAGCCAGCCCAAGCTACATGTGATATTGCCTCAAAAACAAATTCACACCCAAAATGAAAATGCACATATTAAAGGGACGCTAACCCGTCGGAGCATGGCACATCCGGCTATGGCAAGGCCTTGCCCTTCTCCCATTCTCTCTGCCTTCCTAAAGTTAGTCACCGAGGTCTGGTCCCTTATTTGGCTACTTCCTCCCCCTGAGGCTAAGTACCAAGGTCCAGCTATCAAAGTATTCAAGTCCAGCAATCAAAGCCCCCTTTGGTTCACCTAGTTAACATGTCCAATTAAAACAAAACACTGCAGCCTAACACAGGTGTTCCCCTTTTATCTTTATAAACTGCCATTTGTCTACCTGCCATACCTGTCTCCCATCCACCCAGCAGCAGCCTTTTGTCCTTCCAGGGCAAATGTCCCTCTGCCTCTCCCTTGTCCTCTTATCTCTTGTCTTGGTCTCTCATTTCCAGCCCGCTATCCTTCCGGGACACATAAATATCCTTGTAGGAGAACTTGGTTTCAGGGTATCTTGTGCCAATCCCATGCCTTTCATTGTGGATCTCTGTGAGTTCAAGGCCAGCCTAGTCTACATAGTGAGTTCCAGGACAGCCAGGACTATACAGGTCTCTTCAAACAAACAAACAAACAAACAAAATCACACAAAACTTTGTTTCAAAAACAAAACTAAACAAACCCCCAACACTGCATCCCAATCTGTTTCATAAGACAGTGAGAATGAGGGAGTATGATGAGTGGTTTTAAGCAAATGACCTGCAAAGGCTGACTCAACTCTGCTCATGAACAGTGCTGAGATGCACAGCAGTCTCTCTTATTCAGGGTCTCCCCACTCAGCACTTCTCCTGTAGACAGTTGCAAATTGCTTTTGTGCATAAAACAAAAGAAAGAGAGTTCGGTATTGCTTGGTGTGCTAAGGTGAAATGTGAACTTTAGAAAGTGCCCTAAGTGGATGTCATAATGGGGGACAGCTGATTTCCTTCATGGAGCAGAAGAGGCTTAATAAGTCATATCCAGAAACAGACAGAATAAAGTATTATGTAACGGTTTTCTGGAGATTGAAACATTCCATCCTACAGGGACGCTCCTTAAGCAGGAAGGTAAACAATTTAAAGTAGCTTCAGGAAGTCCCTGAAACTGACCAAGTTCACTAAGTGTCTCCCTGCCAGAGTAAGCAATAAACGCTGAGCTTTCCCATCAGACAATGGAGCTGAGCTTCAAAGACGGCCAGACCAGCTGATTGGAAGATGCAAAAACATGCCCAGCTGCCTCTAAGAGGTGTAGACCAACTCAGGTACCTGGCAAGGCCACTCTCCAACTTGTGGAGATGTCTGTGGGCTGTGCGGTGAGCTCCAGGTTCTGGGCTTTGTCAACTGCCTGCCACCCATGTGTGTACTGTGCTGATGCAGCTGCCTTTGATTCATGTTGGCTCCCATATTCCTGTAAGTAACCCCAACAAATCTCACTGGCTAACCAAACTGGACTCTCACGGTTCTTGTTCCTCCAACTCCTAACCTCCAAATTCATGCTATTTTTTATACATAGTGTGTATGTGTGTATTGGGTTCCCTATCTGGGGTGAGCGGACATGTGTGCTGTGCCTCCCCAGGAAATGTTTGGTCACTACTAAAGGGTACATCAAAGTTCAGTAATACCAAGTCTCAATGTGCACTAGAGCTTCCATCCTGGGTGACAGAAGGATCAGGGCCCAGGGAGGCAACTCGAATGACAGCAAACATAGAAACAGCAATTAAGTACATATTCGGGTAGTAAAATAGTTGTTACTGGCAAAGCTAGCCTTTTCTCAATCTTGAAAAACTTAAAATTAGAAAACACCAGATGATTCTAAGTACAGTCGAAATAAGCTATTACTTATTATACATTTTCATTTTATTAGTGAAGAAACTGCTTTCTAACCGAACGTTTCTGAAAAAGCCTTACCAACCATAAACTATGTATAATTCAAAAGCTTACCAATACTTTACGGTATGTTAAGGGAAAAAAAAAATCTAGAAATGCATTCGTTTACTATACATAAATAATTTATTTACAGTGTCATAAATATAAACTTACCTGTTTTGGATCTGATTTCCTGTATATTTTATGTATTTTGTTTTTTCCATCAGTTTGGTGATTAATGTATCTATGATCACTTTTTGATTCTGAAAAGCTTCTTCTATAAATTGATATCTGAAGAAATAATAAGCAGATAACTTCATACAAATATCTATACAAAAAGTTCAAAAGTTTAAACAACAAAATCTAATATAAGGAGAGACTGTGGGGCTAGAGAGATGCTTCTGGTTAAGAGAACTTCTAGAGGCCCTGCAATCCCGAGGACCATCTTCTCTGTGGGCAACTGAACCCACGTGCACATAAGATACACACATGAATAAACGAGTCTAAAGGAAGAAAGACAATATAAAGGGTATTTAAAAAAATAGTGAATATGGGCTGGCAAGATGGCCCCAGTAGGTAAAGATGCTTACTGCCAAGTTTGCTTTTGATTCCTAGGACCCCTATGGCAGGAGGAGAGTTCCCACAGCTGTCCCCTGATACACACACACACACACACACACACACACACACACACACACTCTAAAACAGGTAGGTTTTCCCATATGCTCAATTATTACTCAAGAAAGGAAGTCTTTAGATATCTTTATTTCAAGATACAGTAGTAAACACCCAACATTCATAGTTTTAGAGGCTTACACAGCATAGCTGACAGATGTAGCAAAAAGCACTCAAAGGTTTGCTAACAGTAACTATTTTGGAACTTCATAATCATGAAAGTTGCTGAGAATAAACATTTTCACCCAGTGGGTGGTGATGCAATTAATCCCAGCATTTGGGAGGTAGAGGCAGTAAGATCTCTGTGAGTTCAAGGACAACCTGATCTACAAAGTGAGTTCCAGGGCAGCCAGGACTGTTTACACAGAGAAACTCTGCGTCAAAAAAACCCAACCATCCAAGCAACCAACCAAAAAAACACTTTCAAGATCATTTCAAAAGAGTAAACAGCTGTGTTGTACAAGCCAAAAAATTACCTTTGGTGAAGGCGCTTGCTGTGCAAGCCTCACAACCAGAGTTGGAGCCCCAGAACCCAGGTGAAAGGAGGGAACTGACACCCAACAAAGCAGCACAGGTGAGCCTGCACACACACACACACACACACACACACACACACACACACACACACACACACACACACAGAGAGACACACATGCAAGCTGGCACTCACAAACAGACATACTTAGTTGTGTGCCATGTTGGCACACAACTAAGGAAGATCTCTGTGAGTTTGAGACTAGCCTGGTTACATAGTTCTAGATCAGACAGGGCTATAGAGTAAGATTCCACATAAATAACAATAAAAAAACATCAAACAAAACAAAAACAAAAGCCCCACGAAAGCAAAGTCTTCTCATTTTGTCACAGTAGCAACTAATACTTTGTTATTTTACAAACAGCACGGTAAGCCAGTGACTCTCAATATAAACTGACTTTGGCCTATAGGACATTTAGCAATGTCTTAGGGATATTCTTAAATTATTTTTGAGCTTTCATTTATGGGGGCAGAGGCATACAGGGGTAAAACTAATGTGAGAGCCAAAGTTACATTTTAAGTTTTAATTACTATGCCTAAGAGATGCATGAAACAAAAATATCCCATGATCCGAAAACCCCTTGCCTAAGGACAAATCATTCCTGAAATGCTGGAGGCTATTGCTTTTGGGAAATGACAAGCTACATATTTTTCACTCCCCTAAACAACTTTGTTTGACTCATCTGCACTGGATGTGCTTGATCCCATGTGGGCAGGGTGTTCACAGGCAGGAAAATGTTAGGGTGTATGCTTGCCCCTGACAGGACCTGATGGGAAATAAGTTGATATAAACTGTGATTCGGGGCCATTTCCCAGGAATCTGAGTTTGGACCTGGCCTGAGCCCATCCATCTGGCCAGTATTTAATTAAAGCTTACTCCAAATTTGGCTTTGAACTGGAGTAGTGCTTATTCTTGACTGATGGGAATAACACTAGCACCTAAGTGGTAAGAGATCAGGCTGCTACTATCCACCATATCATGTGTCGCATTCAACGTACTGTCTGGACCAAAATATAAGGAAAACTGAAATCGAGAAACCCCTATGTAAGCCAGCTTGCCACTGGCCAAACGAAACACATGGATTGCCATTCCGCTGGAGCAGCAGTCAGTCCACAGGCAATGTAAAAGGTGTGCTGCCCATCGGAATACAACAAATGATGCTGGTACCTATGCTCTTTGTGTTCTAGCAACTGGCAGTCCCGACATGTCAATTTGTCACATGTTTCACAGTAAAGTTTCAACTGTTCCTTTTTATGGAATGGACAGAACACTGGTCGCTGACTGGTCACACCAACTGCCTCTGCAAAAACAAGAGATAGCAATGGAACAGGAAATCATTAGATAGTTAGTCCATTTCTACTCAAGTCCACAGACATAAAAGACCCACATTTCTTTCATCCTATGTAGTCAGCCACCACTGCATTACAGATTTTGAAATAAATATTCTCAAGGCTGGTGACTAAAGGTATCTGCCTCCAAGCCCGATGAACTAAATTCAATCCCCAGGACCCATGTGGCAGAAGGAGAGAACCAACTATCCCACAAGGGGCCTACACACCTACTCACATGGAATAAATTGTAAAAAATAAAAAACTTCACAAAATCCCTTTCAAGACTCTTAAGGAAAACAGATTAAGACTTTTTACTTTAAGGAGTAATTTAAATGATTAGATATGTAATGAAAAATGTTTATTGAATTACAAAGTCTTTAGTCCCTTTGAGTATGAACTAACCAAATGTTTTCTATCCTAACTATGAGGCAGGAGGATCAAATATATGTGTAGACTTGGACTCAGTAGCCAAGAGCAGTGGATGCTCTTCCAGAGGACCTGGGTTCCATCCCAGGAACCACGTGGCACCTCACAACCCTCTGTTAACTCCAGCTCCACAAGTACCAGGCACTAAATTGGTAATGCACAGACACACGTGCCGGCAAAACACCCACACACATAATAAAATAATTCCTAAAAAGTTGTGGACTGGCCTGGGCTGGTCTATAAACTGGCTCTCATGAATAGGGCCATAGTTGAGTATGCATCTCTGTTGTATACTGATGTAGTTCTTCTTCATAAGATAGCTGTGCTCTTAGCTTGTGAACGCCCTCTAGAGCTTTATATAAGCTAAGCAAATATTTTACCACTGAGCTACACCCACCAGCTATTTTCAGTTTTGTGAGGACTGCACGAATTTATCTTCCCATCAACACTATAAGGGCTCTTTTCTCCTTGAATCCTTGTTAGATTTTTTATTATTATTACAGCCATTCTGACTTCGGTGAGATAAAATATAAATGTAGTTTCATTTGCATATTCCTGATGGCTTAGGCAACTGAACATTTCCTTAGACAGTTATTGTCCACATTTCTTTATTGACTGGACTATTTCAGGGGTGTATTTTGATGTCTAATTTTTTTTACTTCCTATATTCTAAACTTTTATGTATGCTCACATATGTTTAGGTGCACATATGTGTAGTGCATGTGCACACATGTGAACATGTGTATATAGAGACAGGAGATAAACCTCAGGTGTCGTTCCTCTGGAGCCACCTAACTGTTTTGAGATGGAGCGTCTCATTAGGACCTACAGCTGTCTAGTAAGCTAGGCTGCCTGGCCAATAAGCCTCAGGAGCCAGCATGTGTCTGTGTCCTCCACTCCAGATAATATTAGTGAGAGGACTCAGTTCCTTGTCCTTGTCCAGCAAGTGCTTTACTCATCGAACCAACTCCTCAGCTCTTGTTTATAGTCTAGGTCTTAATCCTCTGTTGATTAAGAGCTATAGCCTTTTTACTTTTGTGTTTACTTTGCTGGACAGAAATCTTCTAGTTTCATAAAATCCCATTTGTCAATTCTTGTTATTATTTCTTGGCCTATGTGGTCTCTTTCAGGAGCTGGAAAGATGACTCAGTAGTCAAGAACACTGGCTGCTCTTCCAGAAGACCCAGGACCCCCATCAGCAGCTCAAAGCTGCCTGTTGACTTTAGTTTCAGTTCAGACATTATCTTCTGACCTCTACAGGTACTGCATGAGTGTGGTACAGATACACACATGCACGCACGCAAGCACATATTCACAATAAACAAATCGTTTTTTATTTAATTAGGATGACGTTTATATTTGTGATCCTGGGAATTGAACTCAAGGCCTGGTGCATGCTAGATAAGCACTCTACCACTGAGCTATATTCCCAGCTCTATCAACAAATCTCTATTTAAACAGTCCTTTCTCAAAAAGTACATGCATAAACCTGTATTTTTCAGGTAGGAACATAGTTTTTATGGCTTCTATTAAAGAAAAAGTTTTCCCACTCTCATAGGGAAACTTTATTGAATTTAAATATTAGAGATATCTAAAACATTTATATGATTTTAAATTCTTAGAAAAACCTTAGGAGTAGCCAGAAAGGAGATTGAGTTAATAGATTTACATTATCTTACCATGAGTTAATGAAAAGCTGATAATAAAACCTAAGAACTGGGAAATTTTCCTTCTTTCTTTTTTAGAATTCTTGCAAGGGTTAGGGATACAACCCTGTTGGCAGTATCTGACTGGCACACATGAACCCTTGTGTTCAATCCCTGTCACTTTATAAGCAGGGCATGTTGGCTCAGGCCTGTAACCCCAGAACACAGAGGGAAAGGCAGGAGGATCAGAAGCTCCAGGGAATGCTTCTTCACTACAATCAATTCTTGGGTTCACAATAATCACACTGTACAGCAATTTACATTCAGTAATACATCATAGTCATTCATACAAGTACCAAAGCAGAAAGCAAGTAAAAGAATCCAAAACACTATAAGCGCAGAGTATTTGAAAATGAACTGAAACAGTGCTAAGCTATAATTCAAACACTTATCCTAAAACACGTCAAGTGCATAGTTCACCTGACCCAGTGATCACTGTTTTGGGGGGGGGGGGACACACACAGGTTTCTGTCTATTACGTAGCTTTGGCTGTCCTGGCACTTGCTATGCAGATTATTAGGCTGCCTCTGCCTCCTGAGTGTTGGGATTGAAGGTGTGCATCACCATACCCACGTCTAGTAGTAGAAATTTAAAATAAAATTAAGGGAATTGAAAAGAAACGCAAGGTTGATGAACTAAAAGGTATAAATAACTGGGTAAATATACTCAAAGAGCTATTTCTATAAATAAAAATAAAGCCAAATCTACCATGTTAAAAGAAATGGTTAAAAAAAGTAAAACAATGAAAAAAGAAAAATAACCATAGAAAAATTTGGTAGTTGTTACGGTTCAAATGTGAAATGTTCCCTCTGTCCCCAAAAGCTCTTGTTTTGAAGGTCTGGTCCTCAGCTGAAAGGACTGGATTATGAAATTCTGCAACCTAGACTCCGGGACTGATCACTCTACTTCTTCCTCCCAAGTGCTGGGAGAATAGGCACATGCTACCAAACCTTCCTCATGTAAACAAGTTCAAATGACTTTGTAAGTCAAGACAGGGACCTTTGCTTCATTTTAAGTACTCATCTCTAACCACACTGTACAATTTTTGTTGCTCAAAATTATTGTTTCTTTAATTATCAATTCAACAATCCCACTAATCACTCTTCCTTTCTAACCTTCTTAGTTTATTAACCTGACTATATTACTAATCCCTTGTCAGTTACAGCCAAACTACTAATCAAAACTTTATTCCTCTTATCCAGTTAAAATCCTCACCACTTCAACATGCCACTATTTGAATCTTGTATACTATTACATTTCTCTAAGATCTGTCTAGCTACCTCAACCCTATACATGTCCAATTTTCTATGCTAACATTCAGATTGCCAAGACCTGATGGAGGAAGATTTATGGTACTTACCTCATGCAACTCTTCAGATTCTACAGCTATTTCAACTGGAGTTATTTGGCCTCCAACCTAAATCCTAGAATCTGAGGTTGGGACTCTTGGTAAATATTCTAACAGAATTCAATAGGCCCAACTATGGTTATTTATTTACTTACATTCTTTATTATATACTCCTATAGTACAGGAGGCATCTTTCATTTTCATTTCTAGTAAATAGCAAAATTTAGAATATAAAGGAGGCACACACACATACTGGTGGCTCGAAAACAAAAGAATAATAATATGTATGAGTTCTTAAAACATTATATGCTGTGGGGCTGGAGAGCTGGTTCATTGGTTGTGATAGAGCAGCCTGACTCCATGTTAAGGATGGAAGCCACTTTGTTATAAGGTCAGAACAAGTTCACTTTTGTTTGCTGCAAAATACAAGTAGACCATGCTTTACCCCTGTTTCTGTAACCTGATGTGCTCCCCACTCTATGGAGTTTGACTCTCACCTTAAACGTTCTCTGATTAGATAGATGTTCTGTCAAATAATTTTGAAATGTCCAGCCAAGTTCCTCAGAACCAATTTTCCTCTGAAAATCTCCCAACACTTGAAAACCCCCAGAGTCTTATAGTTTCTTGGGCTATATAACCCTACCTTCTCCTGTGTTTAGGGCTACTTTCTCAAACTCCACTTCAGAAAGATAGCCCTGTTGGCCAGAAAATAAAGCTTACATAATTTGCCAAAGAATTTGGATAATGGTCTTCACTCTCATTCAGTGGGATTAACAAAAGCAAAGGGTTTTGTTTTGATTGTTTTCTTTCCTTCCTTTCTTTCTGATCATACCAAATTGAATTAACAGAAGCAGGAGAGCTGGGGATATGAATTAAGGCAAAATTCAATAATATAATTCATACTTATCAGCACCTCATAGTACAATTAGAATGCTGACTTCTTTGTATCTAAAACATTTTAAAGTACATGTAATGTTTATAGCAGTGCTAAAATACATCAGGGTAGGAAATGTAAAAACACAGTTTCAGAGAGAGAAAAAGAGAAGGGCAAACCCTGATTCATTACCTGGCGACACTTCTTCTTTCTGCCTGACGGTGTGGTCTTTTGTGAACTTCACCCTCTGGTGAGCTCTAATACATGTTTTGCAGAGCCATTCAACACACTCTACACAAAACCCATTGGCTTCTGCGTTGTCTTCACAGCTTGTACATACCTAGTAATAAAAGAATCTGGTCACAAATTGTTGAAAAATATTAAAAATAACATACCCACCAAATAGACTATTAGTTTTCTTATACCATTCTATGTTTAAATTGATAGCATGCATTAAACTATAAGCATATAAAATGAAGTTATTATGTAGAGGAATTGTCTTTGTGGATAAGGTCTCACTATGTATCCCTGGCTAGCAATGAAAATATTATATAGAGACACTGTCCTTGTGGATAAGGTCTCACTATGTATCCCTGGCTAGCCTGGGACTCACTCTTTAGACGAGGCTGGCCTTCCACTCATCACCTGACGCCCACTGTCTCTGCCTCCTGAGATCTAGGATTAAATTAAAGGTGTGCAACAGCAGACTAGACAAAGATTGTTTAAATACATTTTCTCCTTAGCTTTTAGACTGATATACTAGACACTAGGCAAATGACACATGTAAGAATCACTTCAAGGGAAACGCCATCCATCTCTCCAGCTCTGGATCTGGGTCATGTTTTATCACAGCAACAGAGTGCGTACTGCAACAGACTGTATCCTTGGACTATGATCCAAAATAAACCCTGTTCTCCTTAAATTGCTTCTGTTGGGGAATTTCATCAAAACAATTCAAGAAACTCATTCAGGAGAAGTAGTGTCAGAGGGAAGCCTGAGCCTCAGACCCAGGAGCAAGTGTCAGAGAGAGGCCCAACCCTCAGGCTAGGGAGCAGGGAGCCACCAGTGGGTGAGAGAACAGCAGCCATTTCCAGCAGTGGCTTCCAGAAGCTATTCCAAGGTCATCTCGGAAACAGCACCTTGTGTCTCAGCCAGAATCCACTGCCCAAGATAAATCACTGCTACAGCCACCACTGGACCCTCAGCCCCACCTACACCCAGAGGAGCAATCACCAGAGACATGGCCCTGCCTCCAATGTGAGGAGCATACAATGGAGATGTAACCCCCATCTGCACCTCAGGGGGAACCACCTGAGCCTTGGTCCACTTCCACCAGGAGGAGTGATCACCAGAGGCCCTGATCTGCTTGCACCTGGAGGAGCAGTCAGTGGACCCACAGCCCCCACTGGAGAAAGAGACCCCGGAAGCACAAGCTCCACCTATACTGATTAGAGGACAAGATTGGTAGACAACAAAGTAAGAACACACCCAACATTATAAAGAGCAATTGGGCAGCACTAGAAACGAGTGGCGCGACAACACCACGACCTAAACATCCCAATGCAGATGAAGGAGGAGAAAAAGACCGTAAGAATAACCCCCTCAATTCCATGAGGATGACTGAGACCCTTAAAGAGGAAATGAAAAATTCCCTTAAAGAAATGGAGGAAAAAAGAAATGGAGGAAAACAAAAAAATTAGAAGAAATCTACAAAGCCCTTAAAGAAAAACAAGAAGAAGCAATTAAACAAATGAAGGAAATGATTCAAAACTTGAAATCTGAAATAGAGGGAATAAACACAAGCTGAAGGGATCTAACTCTAACGCACAAACTGACTTAGTGGAGCCCATTCTATATGGAAAGAGACATGATCTTGCTCAGCCTAGTCACAGGGGTGGGGGTGGGAGGGCCTTGGTCCTGCCTCAATGAAATGATGGGACAGACTTAGTAGACTTCCTAGGGGAGGCCTCACCCTCTCTGAGGAGCAATGGGAGGGGAGGAGGGAAGTGGGAGGAGCAGGAGGAGAGGAAAAAGGGGAACTAGGATTGGAATGTAAAAAATAAAATAAAGTAATAAACTAAAATTATACTAATACAGAAAGAAAAAAAGAAGCACTACAAGTGATTGGAGAGATGGCTCCAGTGTTACAAGTGCATGTTGTTCTTACAGAGGATCTGTGTTTGATTCCCAGCACCCACATGATTGCTTATAACCATCTGTAACTCCAGTGTCAGGAGATCTGACATTCTCTTCTCACTTCTGTGGGCACCAGGAATATACGCGGCGTACATATATACATACATGCATTCAAACATACAAACACTCATAAACACAAAATAAATAAAACAAAAATAAATGTAAAAAGATTTAAGAATTGGAGAGATGGCTCAGCAGCTCTGAGCAGTTGTAGACAACACTGGGTTCAGTTCCTGGCACCCAAACGGCAGCTCACAACTATCTGTAACCCCAGTTACAGTGAATCCAACGCTCTCTTCTGGCCTCTGAGGGCACCAGACATGCTTGTGGTACATAGGCACATACATGTGTAGGCAAAACAGGTCTATAGAGCGAGTTCCAGGATAGGCTCCAAAGCTAGAGAAATCCTGTCTCAAAAGCAAACAAACAAACAAAACCAAAAAAGAAGTGCCAAATAAAAGGAATTATACCAAAAGTTGTCAGTGCTTATGATGGAGACATAGGATATTATGTAGTTACAGCTTTTTCCAAATAACTAAAAAGACTTTCTACACCAAGCTATGGAAGCTAATAGATGGAAAGCCTTCTAGTCAAAACTTCAAGAAGAGAGTAGCTGGTTTAGCGAACCGGAAGGAAGGAAGGAAGGAAGGAAGGAAGGAAGGAAGGAAGGAAGGAAGGAAGGAAGGAAGCAAGCAAGCAAACAAGCAAGCAGGAATCAGGGAGAGTTTGACAAGAGAAGGGGCTGGTGGCAAGGCGGGCAGGCAGGCAGGGGTCACGTGACCATGGTAGTCGTTGGCAGAAGGAAGATTAAATAAGAAAGGCATGGATAGACTTCTATTTTTAAAATCAACATTACTGCAATGCAAAGAACAGATAGAAAAGTGCAAACCATTCTCACATAAGTTAGTCTGTATGAGGGTTAGAAGAAGTGAAGATGAGAACAGAAAGGAAAATTCGGGAAGCAAAGGAGGGGAGGTTTAGGAGGGCAAGTAAGTTTGGAGAGTGCCCTGGGTATGGGAGGTGAAGAGGAAAGTATCGGGTGCGTGCGTGCGTGCGTGCGTGTAGTGGCACAATAATGGTGTAGACAGTGGCAGAGTGTCTTTGTAGTTGCAAACAAAAATGCACATAATTCAGAAGCTGCCAAATTCCATGCCAAATTCCAAGTATGCCAGAACCAAACACCTGCCTTTTCTTAGGGCTCTCCACTTCCCTCTTCTCACACTGTCGCTGAGTGCTCAGCAGTGCTGGTCATCGCTTCTACAATCTGCCAACCCTCTTTGCCTTTTCAATGCCACTTTGGATCCCACCCGTCTCTTCTCTTCCTGACTTTGTGGGGGTTCTACTACATCTAGGGATATCTTTAAGTTCAACTATTGTGTCTATAAGGATGCCATGTAAATTTCTAATCTTCCACTGCAGGCTACAAAAAGGAATGAGGAATGGCTAATATGCACGGCTCCAGATCTCTAGTAAATGAAACAAAATATAAAATGCAAAATAGGGAGAAGATGCAGTTAGACCTGCCATCCTGGGAGGGAAGCAAGAGAACTGTGAGTTCAAGGCCACCCTGGGCTGCATGGCAAGAGCCTACTGAAAAAAACAAACAAAGAAACAAACTCCAGCAAGGTATGGGGTAAGTGCCACCCCCGAGAGGCCTAGAAACTCATAGTCTCCAAAATCAGTTTCTATATTTTTACTCTTAGAGCAAGCCATTGAGTCCAGGGTCTCCTGCATGCTACACACTACACCTGAGGTAAACCCATAGTTAATTTCATTATTTAAAGCTGGTTTCACAAGGAGAAAGTTTATCCCCTGCAGCAAACCCAATTTTGTCTTTGGGGAACAATGTGGATACTGTTAAAACAACAGAATTTTAATTAGTGTTAACTAAGTTCTTTTATAAGTATAATGAACCCTAAATTCCTATAGTTACATCTCAGGAATAAAAAGTTGAAAATGAAAAGGGGAAACACAGAAACCAGTCACACATAAAAAAGAATTCCCAACAGACAAAATTAATTTTTTTCCTAACTAGAACTAGAACTAGATTTAGTTCTTTCCTGGACGTTACAAATGAAAGGAGCCATCTAGAAGACACCAATGAGTCAGAACTCAACGTGTACACTAATTTACTAGACCAGGCACATACAAGGGAATCCACCTTAACAGGGCTATCCCACGCTAGAACACCACACTCTCTCTCTAGGGATAACCTATCTACATTTAAGCTTAAATGAGTGAAAAAGAAAGAAAAGATATTGTTGCAATTCAGCACCTTGGACAATGCTACTAACGAGGCTTTCAAGCAACACCATGAATACAAGATTTTCTTAAACATATAAACCTCAGAGTATGAGAGATAGCTAAGCATATAGAGCTATTTCCTGACCAATGGTGCAAGCCTGATGGCCTAAAATAGAGTCCTAGAGTACGAATAAAAATGGAAGGAAAAGCCGGGTGTGGCAGCACACACCTTTAATCCCAGCACTCAGGAGGCAGGAGGATCTCTGTGAGTTCGAGGCCAGCTTGGTCTTTTTAAAAAGCAAGTTCCAGGACAGCCAAGGTTGTTACACAGAAAAACCCTGTCTTGAAAAACCTAAATGGGAGATAGATGATAGATTGATAGGTGGATGGATAGGAAGGAAGCAAGCATAAGATAAAATGAAGGAGAAAAGGCAAACTTCACAAAGATGTCCTCTGATTTTATAGCTACCAAGTGTGCACAGACATATGCACACACTAAAAATGATTTTTCTAATGTAGAAATCTTACTGATGAAAAATATAATGTATTTTATTTGATCAATAGTACAGTTTTAAAAAGGAGGCTGGGGCTAGAGAGTTAGCTCACTGGTTGAAAACACATTTGCAGCTCTTGCATAGGACCTGGGTTAGGGTCCCCATACTCTCAAGAGGTTGGCTATTGTCTTTAACCCAAGTTCCAGGGGATGAGATGTCCTCTTTTGGCCTCCACAGGCACTGAACACATGTAGTATGCCTAATGGAATGCAGGCAAAACACCAATACACAGAAACACAAATCTTTTTAAAAAGAATAATAAAGTAACAATTTCAACACCCAGTAACTCAGTAGTAAGAAATTAAATAATGCTAAATATAGCATATTGTTTCTTGTAGCATACAGAAATATGATGATAAAAATCATGGGCACTACTTATATTCCTAACTTCAACTACTCACGATTGTTCATACACTTAAAAAAGATGTAATTTTGTATACTAATGTTCTAAAATTCGGCTTTTTTTTTTAGAACTATTTTTATTATTTATTTATTTATTTTTTTGGAGGTTTTAAAGTCACCAAGGGACTGCTTTTAATAGACCATATTTTTTCTTTCTTTTTTTTTCTTTGCTTTTCATTTTTTACAAGATTTCTTTTTTTTTCCAACTTTTTTTATTTGAATTAGAAACAGGATTGTTTTACATGACAATCCCATTTCCCTTCTCCCTCCCGTCCTCCCCTACCCACCCCCCAACTAAAACCTTATCTGTCACATATCTTTTCTGCTCCCCCTGGATGGTGAGGCCTTTCATAGGGTGTCATCAGAGTCTTTCATTTCCTTTGGGGTAGGGCCTAGGCCCACCCCCGTGTGTCTTGGCTCAGGGAGTATTCCTCTATATGGACTGACTACTCCTGCACTTAAGCTGCTTCATCAAGGATAGTAAAGGCTTAAATTTACACTTACCTGATTAGACTTTTCTACTGTACTACTGGGTACCTCAGTAGTGTCCTTCACAAAAAAGTTGTCTATGATGTGTCTCTCAGCACACTCTTGACTGCAAACTGGGCATCGAATGACTCCAACTGGGAAAGACAAAATTGAATTTGAAGTTTAATATACTGAGACCACCACATCTCATTTAAACTGTAACTGGATGGAATTTTTGTTCCTAATAATTTTAAAGTTCCTATTTGCTTTCTAAATTCATAATATAATAAACACACTAAATATGGCATACGCCCTTTTAATTTTAATTGGTATGCCCAATGGCTTTTGTTTGTACTAATCAACAATCTCTCCATCCCTGTTTTTCAAACCTAAGTAGTTTGTGTTTTCTGTGTATTTGAGATAAGGTCTTGATGGGTCATCCCTGCACCCAATGTCACATATACTTTCTACGGAACAAGAACTCTGGATCTCTGCAGACCAACAGAATCAGAAATTCTGGAAGAAATTACAATCATCTCTGGCTAAAGCCTCCACAAGCCCTTAAGAAACATGATTTTGTTTCCTTGAACAGATTCAAACTGTTTCTATGGGAAAGTCCGCTCTCATAGAAACATGTAATATACACAATGCACTGGTCTAATGCAGACTTAAGGAAACGCCAAGGTCTTCAGATACTTATGGTTTGAATGTGAAATGTCCCCTACAGCCTTAGCTGGCAGCACTATTTTTGGGTGTTTGAGAAATTTCAGGATGTAAGGGCTAAAGGAAACAGGCCAATGGATACATGTCTTGCAGATCATATCAGGCCCCCAGCCTCTATAACTGCCGGTCCACATGAGGGGAACAGTCTCCCTCTAACTGCTCCCTATGTCACCATGGGCCCAGAATCATCAGAGCTTAAACTGTTTCTACTTGGTATTTTGTCATAGCAATGAGAAAAATGGCTTTTATAAATATATTTTTGCCATGAAATGTATGAGATATGCATAAGAACAAACACAAAGTAATGCAAAGGCCAATTTTATCTGTGTACATTTAAATAACAACAACAACAACAAACAACAACAATAAATCCTATGGGGCCATGCCTTTCATCCCAGCACTCAGGAGGCAGAGGCAGTCAGATCTCTGAGTTCAAGGCCAGCCTGGTCTACAAAGGCGTTCCAGGACAGCCTCCAAAGCTACAAAGAGAAACTGTCTCAAAAAAACTCCCCCACTCTGGAAAAAAATTCCTAGGGCTGGAGAGATGGTTCAGTAGCTAAGAGTTGGCTGCTCTTCCAGAGGACCTAGGTTCAACTCCCAGCACACATGGCAGCTCACAACCACCTGTTATCCCACTTCCAGGGGATCTAATGCCTTATTCTGGGCTCAGTGGGAACTGCACATAAGTGGTGTATAGACATACTTGCAAGCAACACACACACACACACACACACACACACACACACACACACAGTTAAAAATTAAAAAAAAAACTTTAAAAATATCCATCTGAGATCTCACACATGTGAGACTCTAAGTCTGACCAGCAACTGAAGCAAAAAAAAAAAACAAAAAAAAAAACACAACACACACACACACACACACACACACACACACACCCACCATTCAAACTCCACAAGAGCCATAGGTTATCTAATGAAACCAGGCATGAGAACCCAGAATTTGAGTTGTCCATAAGGGAGTCCAAGACACTCCCCAAATAATACATGTTATTGCTGTTGCTGTTGGTTGTAATACAAAGCTTGAAGGTCAGTCCCTATTGCTGAAGACACTATATACTTCAGACACAAGACCTGGAAGAACTGAGCTAGATCTGATTTGAAAGCTTCTCCCTGAGAGTTAGCTTTTATAGTACTGGCAGGTACTATGCAAGCTTCCAAGGGAGAGCAGCAACCAACAGACTTACATAGCTCTAATGCCTATGAACCATGATAACCATAAGGGTCCATAAAATGGCATTAATCTTGGTGGTAACCAACAGCTTTCCAGTTGGACTCAAGACCTACTCAACAGGAGGAAAACCATGCCCAGTACCAGAAACCTAACCAACTACCTAGGGCTAGGTTGAGACCATGGATCTTAAAGGAGAACCTACCATCATCACTTTACTGAATCAGCGTACTCCCTAACTGCACTCTGAATATTTATCCTAACACCCACAGATAAATGTAAGTTTTTACCCCTCATCCAATAAGCTCATCTTTACAACCATGGGAGACAGAAAACCACAACTGGTTAAAAATTAAGAGGACAAGTGATCATGAAGTGCCCAGCTAAGACTCGGGACACTGTGGAAGAGGGAGCAAAAAGACTATGAGCTAGAAGACCAGAAAATTTGCTGTGAGAATGTGTCTCCTAGACATGACAAAGCATAACAATATGACAGCCTAAACAAGACCTGAAGAGCAGTGCAACACCATACTAACATAGAAGGGGAAACCTCATAGGGACACACCCACAGACAAAGATATACAGGCAACAAATGAATGCTTGAGTCAAGACAAACTGTTCTTCCCTAGGGATGATGCCCCTAATTGGTTCTCTAATTTCAAGTGGTCAGTCATGAAATCACACAAGTAATACTAAACTGACTGACTGACTGAGCAGGTATATTTATATATTTAGGCATTAATATATGATTATATATATATATATATATATATATATATAGAGAGAGAGAGAGAGAGAGAGAGAGAGAGAGAGAGAGAGGCCATGGTTTCCAGAGGGGGTCTGGGGGGATATATCAAATAAATTAGAGGGAGGAAAGTAAAAAAATGTATTTCATAATAGCAAAATATTAAGAACTTAAGAATAAACTTCACAAGATATGAGAGGTTGCTGCTGAGAAAAATGCTACATTATAAGACAAAAACTTCAAATAATGAAGAAAACATGTTCAATATAGCTATACATCATGGTAATCTCTGGTTTTTACTAAAATTTTGTTTGGAAAACATGTTTATTAAATAATGGCACTTAACTACTAAGCCTTAGTACATGGTACTAAGGTAACATGGTACTTTTGTAAAAATAAGAAAATCAGAACTGAATATGCACACCAGAAACATCTCCGTAGAACTGATGTGGCACCAGCAATGAGCAGGAAAACACATTAACTCTACAAGTTGCTGGGATGGCACTAATTATCTGTTGCAGGATATTTGATCACACTGTGAACCTGAAATTGTTATTTACTGGAAAAATCTCTTTCTAGTTGTAGTGTGGCTCAACTCTAGCACACACCTTGAATCCAAGAGCTTTCTGCTTGAATATTGTAAACAGGATTAAAAGGTCAACCTTATGTCAAGAGGTGAAGCAAGCAATCAGTTGACAGGAAGTGAACAGGAAGGAAGCGACAGGAAGGAATCCTATAGAAATACTAGATTTAAGAAAATTTAAGGAATTGGTTATTTCACATGGTATGCATTCACCCCTGATCAAGCAGTTATTAAATTCAGGGGCAATTAAGAATAGAATTATCTCCCAAGACTGGAAACATTTGGCAACAGCAATACTGGAAGATAGTCCTCAGTTACAATGGAGCACATGGTGGAAAGAGAAAGCTAGGGCCGTAGAACAACAAAATGGTGCTAAGCGTATTAATATTTCCCAAGATCAGTTTCCAGGCAAAGGTCAATATCTTGAGTTACAAAGAAAGTTTCAATTTGATGTTTACACCTTGGTGCTATGCTACTTAGGAGCTTTGCTTTGAATGCTTGGGAAAAGGTTAAAGAATCAGAAAGAGGTCTAAGTCATTTATTAAAGTTATATAAGGCCCAAAGAAGCTTTCACTGATTTTTTTTCACAAAAATTGACGTCAGCTGTAAATACAATAGTATCAGATTCAGAAGTCAGACAAATATTAGTCAAATCTTTGGCTTTTGAAAATGCTAATTTAGAACGCAAAAGGGTGTTTAGGCCTTTAAAGGCAAGATCAGTACCCATAGGAGAATGGATCAGAAATACAGTTTGATACTGGACCTTATACTTCTAATGGTGAGACTTGGAAATGAGCACTGTTTTCTAAAAATAAAGAAAAACCAAAATGTTAGGTGTTTTAATTATGGTAGACAAGGACATCTGAAAAGGGAGTCTAGAGGCAAGGTGCTCCAGAAACAGTATTCTAGAAGTAATTCAAATGGAAGACTCCAGTCTTCTGGAGTATGGAGGTGTGGCAAAGGCTGGCACTGTACTAATTAATGCAATCAAGGGACAGGCAAGGTAACCCTTTGCCATTGGGAAATGCCCCGAGGGGCCACATGCCTTTAATCTCAGCACTTGAGGTATGTAAGATGGGAGCAGATATTCAGTAGGGGCATTTTTGGTCTCCAGCCACATTCCAAGCAATTAGTTTCCAGCCACACTGAGGGCAGGATTGCTTCAGCCTGGATAGAGGTTAAGAGCTACTGGCTTGGTTGCTTTGCTTATCTGACTATCAGCCTGGCCTCTAATATATATCGCTGAGTTTGATTTTTGCCTATTTATATGCCCCTATGAAAAACAAGTTTTTGCCACACGTGGCTTGTCCTTGTGATTGTATACAGCTTGAACTCATGAGAACTTCACTCATGACCTTTATTAACCCTCAGAATATAAACTGTCTAATGCAACTAGTCAGTGGATGTGGTGCACACCTTTAATCCCAGCACGCAGGAGGCAGAGGTAGGCTGGTCTCCATGGGTTCAAAGCCAGCCTGGACTATAGAATGAATTCCAAGACAGCCAGAGCTACACAGAGAGACCCTATCTCGAAACTCCGGCTCCTCCCCACTCCCGGCAAAAATAAATCTAATGCTCTGAATAAAGTTGGCTATTGCATGAAACTTCAGTCCACCTCATTTGTCAGCTCTATTATCCATGTCTCACCACCCCTGGACAGGTGACGTGCTCTGATATCCATCCTCCTACACCTGATCATTTTATCTTGCTCTAAGTCTTTTTTTCCCATTCCCTGTCATTTACCTTATCATCTTCTAATTTTATTTACCTATGTTGTTTATTTAGTGCCTGGTAATCCCAAGTATAATATAATCCCCATTAAGACAGAGGTATTTAGTCTGTTTAGTTCACTGATAGTCCAAAGTACACTAACAAATGGGCCTGGCACATGGTGTTCAATAAACATTTGTTGAGTAAATGTAC